TGGGTCGGACTCTAAATGGTCCGGAGTCAGACCCTAATCGGCTCGGGTCCTACTGATATGGAACATCTGTCAAACAGAGACGTTCCAACTCACAGAGGTGTGAAGACGTTCCGGCCTCCATGTTTGTCAGGTTCAGACCTGAACCTGGATCAGAACCGCCGCTCGCTACTCACTCACCTTCTTGACGAGGATGGTGAGCCCCTGGTACTTGAAGGGTTTGGAGAATTCGATGTACTGAGCACGCTCGTTGTTGATGGTGAGGGGAGCCACGATCATGTCAGCCAGGCCGCCCAGCAGCTCCCCCATCATCCCGTTCCACTCCTTCTTGTTGCTGTTGTTCACCTGCAGGAGGGAGAGCAGATCTGGCTGAACTGGACCCGTCAGAAACACATCAGAACAGACGCGGGGAAACAGGTCGTCTGAACCCGTTCTTATGAGCCGACAGGAAACAAATGAGCTGAAAAGACGTGGAACTATGAATCAGAGATTTAACTTGTCCAAGGGAATAAGTTTAATGCAGATGTCCCCACTGTGGGACAATAAAGGGATCTACATTTCCGTGACTATCGGTCCCTGCGGCGTGGAGGTGGGTGGAGTCATTTAAGTAGTGGGAGAGGGAGGGGTGGGGGGGTGTTGTCTGCAGAAGGTAAACACCACTGACGAGCAGATGAAGGGGGGGGGTGGAATGACCGGATCTCTATTGCTCTGCAAGGTCAAGTCAGAGCTGCAGTTACCATGGCAACAGGTCTCATCCATTGGAAATAAATCAGCATAAACAAACATCCGCCTCTTGATGGAATTTGAACATAATGGACCAAAACAGAACCAGAATATAATCCTCAGATCTGCCGCTAGGTAGCTATCTGCTGATTGGTCCGTCTGCTCCTGGATCGACCTATCAGAGAACATCCTGGACTGTTTTCCCACTGACCCGAGTTTGAACTCCCTCAGACTGTCCGAGGCTGGTCCCCTCTGGTCCAGTCCTGGTCAGTTCAGCCTAGTCCAGTTAGTCACCATCAATCACACACATTTCTGCCCAAACGACTCCAGCCCAGTCTAAATGAGTCCATTTCAGTCCTTAAAACTGACTGTTCAGATGAGGCATCCCCAAAGTCGGTCCTGGAGGGAAGCTGTCCTGCAGGTTTTAGAGTTGTCCCTGCTCCAGCACAGCTGATTTACACCAATAGCTGATTAAAAGGCTTTTGCTGAACTGAAATCATCATAATTAGCTGTGCTAAAGCAGGGAAACCTCTAAAACCTGCAGGACAGCAGCCCTCCAGGACCGACTTTGGGGATAGCCAGTTCAGATAAGTGTTTTGGGTCATTCTCATCTCTGGACCAGTCTGAACCAGGTCCAGTTGGACCATCACTGGACCAGTCTGAACCAGGCTCGGTCATCTCTGGACAAGTCAGGACCAGGTCCAGTCATTATTGGACTAGTCTGAACCAGGCCCAGGTGTCCCTCAGTTCTCCAGGAACCAGGTCTTTCTCTACCAGCCGGACTCTGAGTTGAAATGAACCTGTCCCATCCGGTCACTGGGACCCGGCAGATCCACCTGGCCTGTGAGGGGTAGAATGATCTAGGACATATAGAAACTCACTCGCTCCTGTGTGCCAAACTTTCCATCAGCCACCAGGTGAACCTCGTAGGTGAAGTTCATGCTCATGGCCAGCTTGATGAGCAGGTCGATGCAGAAACCGTAGCAGCACTGAGGGACAGTGGGCTGACCTGCAAACATCCAGAACATCGTTAATGAGCAGGACACAAGGAGATCCGTTTCATTGGAAGGTCCAGATGCTTTCAACTAGAAGGTGGCAGAACGTCCCCCAGCTGCAGATAAGCCCCGCCCACTGACACCCATTCCACTGTTTAGAGGAACACTTCTCTCACTCGGTATGAACCAGCTCTGACTGCCTAAAGGTGAAGCTCAGGTGTGCTTATCTACCTGGGATGGTCCCGTTGGGTCCGGTGCAGATCACCTTCTTGATCAGAACTCCGTTCACCGTGTACTCTTCTTTACACGTCCCATCGCTCTTCGTTGGCTTCACGTAAACAAATGGCTCCTGGTGAATGGTCACAATCTGAACACACAGACAGTGAAGCCGTCAGGTGTCTGATTGGAGGGGCCTCTGATGACATCACTAACTTATCCCACAGCAGAAAGAGACGAGGGTGATGATGGTTTCCTGAAAAGAACTAAACATGGTGGTAAGTTCACGAAGGACAAAGGTCCTGAGAGACAGCCCTGTGGTACGCCAAAGGGTGATTTTAAGCCTCTCGGTATAAAATAAATATTTTGATGGAGATGAGAAATCTGCTTCCTGGTCTGTTGAAGTACTGATAATCTGTATCCAGTCATTTAATTAAACGGTCTGAGGTTTAGGGAATGTAGAAGAATTATGCTCTGATTTGTAGTAACCGATCTGTGGTCACCTATTTTAATTTGACAAACCAAATGTTCTCGCCGTTCTTTCTCCTGTTTGGTGCGATTGCAATAGCGGATCTTGACCTGGCAGGTGTAGGCACCAGATCTTCTCAGGTCCTGCTTGCTGCCAGTGACGTTACCCTACATGATTGGCTGAACGTTGCCACATGATGTAAAACATTGTGGTTGCCCAGACAACGTTAATAACATCACGCAGCGTCAGTGTGCCGAGTCGTTAGCATCTGTAGCTGAAATTTAACCTGATTGATAAAAAAAACTATAAAAATCTGTTTCTGGTGAACAAAGTAACTGATATAAAGGAGGAGAGCTGGGTAGCGCTGTGGCGAGCTGTAGCTAACAGGTTAGCCTCTTTTAGCTCGGTCAGTTAGCCATATAAAGCTACACTAGGGTGACCAGACGTCCTCTTTTTCCCAGATGTCCTACTTTTCATACCTAAAAAAATGTCCAGGGGATGGAGCGACCGCACCCGACCCGGTGATGGTAGCCTGGACAACGGCTGTCCGGTAAGCCAGGAGGGGGTAAGCACGGGGCCGTTGTCCAGGCTATCGTCACCGGGTCGGGTTCGGACCAGCCCGGGAGCTGATGGCTCGTTTCGAATGCCCGGTCCGGTCCAGTGAGTGGCCCAGCAGCCCCCCTTTTACAGGAACCCAAATCTGGTCACTCTACACTACACAACTTTTAAATTCGTGTCAAAAACAACCGTTCACTTTTTAGGATGTCTCATTTGTCCTCGTCTGCCCTCAGATCTTAACAAATAGAATAAAAATAAGCTGAGAGTTTTATTGTCTCCTTGTTAAATAGCAGAGCTCAGTCAGTCTTTCCTTCCAGACGAACAATGATTGTTTTCTACTTTCGGCTAATTTAGATCGCTGATGAAATGTCAAATAATAGCAAATATAGGGAATAATATGTTGAGACTCCAAAAGAGTCTCCCATGGATGAAATGAGTCACCCATTTCTGCGTTAACTGTGACACACAGACGACCTGGTTTCTGAGCATGAAACAGGCTTCAGAGGTGGAGCGGTACGTCCAGCTTCATCAGTACCGCTGGACCATGTCCCTGGTCTACAGGCTGGACGAGGTCCATGTTCCCTGGGTCTGAACTGATATAAGACAATTACGAATAAGACAATTACGGTTAAAAATAAGAAAAAAAACTCCATGATATTATTTATAGTACATATTATCTACCTATCTGCTCATATTAAGGTCACACGCTTAATTTAAGACATGATGAGTCTCTCTCTGACAGGCTTCCTGTGATTGGTGGCAGTAAAGGAGGGTTTCTGTTGGTGGGCGGCGAGGGGAACGCCCTCACAGCACTAAAGCCTTTCTGTTTGACTGAACGCAGAACAATGGGCTCCACCGCAGGAAGAGTGGGAGGCTGATTACTGCTCAGACACTCCGCTGCTCCACAGGCAGGGAAGGAAGATCTGCTTCCCAGGAGGAGATGCTAGACTAAAGAACCAGAATGGTTAGCCTGAGAATCTGGGTCAGGACCCTCATGAAAGGAACTCTTCATCATCCTCTTCCTCTGCTGGGGATGGGGGTGGGGTGGGGGTGGCAGAGCCCATCAGTGACGGCACCTTCAGCCTGGTGGACATCTGGTATCCAACAGGTTTCTCCGTCTCTCCTCCAGGCCAGATGATCTTCCTCTGAGGGTTCATCACCACCTGCAGACACAGATACAGGTTCAGGCTGAGGAGCCGCCGCAGGCCGCAGCCTGACGCAGGCCGCAGCCTGACGCAGGCCGCAGCCTGAAGCAGGCACTAAACGACGCCATCAATACTGGATGTGAGCATGAATGTTTAAGGAGGCTGAGAGGCTCAGCCTGCGGCTCCTGTTCCAGAGGAGATCCAGCTCCAGGCTCTGCAGCTTCAGGTGCTCCTGGCTCAGGGTCCGACCCGGGTCCCTGACAGCTTCAGCCTCCATCTCCTCATACCTGGCAGGGTTAGGGTTACCAGCTAGATCTGAGCTGCTCCGTCTCCTGGAGCTAAATAATGCTGACCCAGCTCGGATTTCCCAGCATGCACTGGGAGCACAGATTCAAACCGACCAGGATGCTCACGCTCAGATATTTACATACACATGAAAAGCTGCCTCTGACTCCACCAGCTGGAGATCTATCATCCATCCTTCATCCATCCATCCATCCATCCATCCATCCATCCATC